GGGCAGGGGCAGCGGCCGCGGCCCGCACCGAGCACCCTCTGGGCGGTGGCAGGGCTGCTCCTCTCCCGAAAACCGCCGGACTGCTCTGACGAGTAAAGCGTTTTGAGCTGTCGCCCCTAATTGGAAGCAGCTATTGCATAGCTTTGTCTCTAAAAGGACCCCAGAACATTGGCTAATACTGTATTGGGTTTTCTGTTTTTGTTTTTTTTTCTTGTTTTGTTTTTTTTTCTTGTTTTGTTTTTTTTTTTTAAATACTAAGAACTGGCAGCAAGGAGACAGCGTCTGTGTGCCTGTGTCTGCGTTATGTTAGATCTTTTCTTAAACCTCCGCTCCTCCTCCGAAGGTTTTTTGGCTGTGCTGAGGGCAGTAAAGAAGGGGCTTCTCCCGGGGGAGTCTGCCGGAGTGAAGCACAGTGATGTCTGCTTGCAGGCAGTTGTAGGATGTTTTATTTTCTCTTGTCAGATTTCCTATTGTTGCTGCTATAACTGGAGCTGACACTGGTCGTGGGAAAGCTTAAGCAAAAAACCAAACCAAAACAAACCAGTACCAAGGAGGGTTTACCGTCCTCGTTTTAAATGCTCCCTGCTCTTTGTTTATTTGCTTTTAAAGACTGAAGCACAGACAGTTGTGCTCAGGAAAAAAAAATTACAGAAAGTTAAACATTGCAGCTTGAACACTGTTCAGGAACTCTTAACTTGGAGGTAGCATTATACTTTTTTTTTAAATTTGAAGTTGAATTAAATTCCTTTATCAGTAGTTTCTAGTACAGGGCTGTTAGCCTCTAGAGGAGCAAAGATCTGCTCAGCACCAGACAACTAGTTGCCCAAGTGAGCTGAGGAGTCAATGGCAGGCTGTGGCATTGCAGTCAGAGTATGTGGGTGAGGTATAGGAGTTGGGCCAGTGAAGTTCCTGAAGCCACCTGAATAAGTTGTGTCTGGCTATGCAAAATGAAGATGTAATAGCATTGTATCAAGTGTATTTCATGGAGAAGCCTGATTTAAAGATATTTAGGGGTTACTTCAGTGTTTTGTATGGTACCTTGTACTTAACTAGGATTTATAGGCATGATGAGAATTCAGATAAGATACACTTGTGAAGTACTGATAGCACTGCTGTAACAAAACTGAAATATAAAACACTTGTAATTACAGCAAGGAGTAAGTAAAAGCCATGACTTATATTGGCAGCACAAGTGTGTCTTTGTAGCTCATGCTTGTATATACTTCAGATGCGAGGTTGTGGGTCAATGTTTTGGAAGAGTGGGGGTTTGCCTTTTAGGAGAGCGCTGGATTTTCTTCTGTATGCACTTAGGTATGTATCTCTTTAGAAAGCAGAGTTTTAGCTTACTCTGTTAGTTTTGGAAGCTTCTTAATTTTCTTTGTTCAGCTTGTAAATGACAGTTAAAAGTTTAGTAGTCTGTCTTGTATTCGGTTTTGTAAGAAAGTGTTTATCTTCCGTATGTGCTTAAGAAACATGTACAAAAAGGTGGATTTTGACCTCAGACTTCCTTTTAATGACAGGCATTTCATTCACAGTGTCATGAAACTAGCTGAATTTTATCTAGACCTACTATCTGGTGTTTTTTTTCCGAAGTCACTAATTATTATATGTTAGTTTGGAGAAATAATGCCAGAATTTTAAGCTAACAGTTTCACTGCAACACTTTTATTTCAGAAAAATTTAATGTATTTTTTGCTTGATATCAGGAGATTCCTGCAACTCTATGCTAATGAGGTAACTTTATGTGTAAAATGGTCTGTTTGTAACTATACAACTAGACACTGACAATACAAGTTTTTACATTAAAGTGTACCTTTTAAATGGGTTATTTTTTTTCATTGAATCTAGTCATACTTTAAACCTAATAGGTATTTTTTTTATAAAGCAAACTGTTTCTTCATTGGAAAAAACTCAGTGCTTCTCTTGCTGATTGAAAAGAATATTGAATGTTTAATTGTTTTAACAAATAGTGTTGGGCAAAAAAAGTTGTGGGTTTTTTTTAAATCTGGCACAAAATTAAATTAATTAAAAATTACCTTAAATCTAGGTTAAAAACACAAGGAAAACCACTATTAGTGGAGCTTCAAAGACAGGGCTCTGAACAAGGAGTAAATAAACTATTAGATGTGTTTGTGTTCTACTGTAGCTTTTCCTTCATTGTTCCCTGTTGCTAGCATCAGTGTAGCTTCAGAAAGTAGCCCAAGCGGCACTGGGTTTGCTAATGGCGGCAGGGCACTAGCAGCTCACTGTGTTAAGAATCTCCAGCTGCAGAGAGCTTTTTTGCATAGGTTTTCTGGAGACCTTGTTGAGCCTGAAGCTCTCCATCGTTAGTACTTGCACCTGTGGTCAGTCTCAGTGGAATTTTTCAGGATTAAGACTGGTATCTAGATGATAGCTTTTCAGAACATTTGCAAATATGTATGTAGGCTTTGCTGATTCACTGAGGCAAATTTGATTATTTTCTATTGGGTGTTTTAATATCTCCTTAACTCTGCCTTTTCAGATTGTATCTCTTCATGCTGATTATTGGTATTTTATGCTGATTCGTAGTTCTGGGTGTTTGTTTTTTTCTGGAGTTTTATGCTTTATGCTGTTTCTGATAAAGTAAAAAGCATGCATGGTTGAATTTAGAGACAAATAAAGAACCAGAAGAAAAAATAGGGGATTAGGAAAGCAACTCGTGTCTGGTATTTATGTTGTACTTATTTAGGGTGGCTGTTCTGGCATTGAAATGATGTATATGCTAATTAAATGGTTATATCAGGGTCATAACAAGGGAAGGATTTTCTTTGATGGATCAGTATTTTCTAATTCTTTAAATTCTGTAGCTGCAATTTCTGTTTGTGGATTATGAGTTTTTTTGTTTTTTCAAGCAACTATTTTTATAAGTACACCACCATTCTCTGAAGCGGGTGTGCATTGGCCAAAGCATATGTGTCTTGAGTAGAGAGGCACTTTGTGCTTTTCAGTATGTCTTGGCTAAACGGCATGCTCCCTGTTGCGTTTCCTTTGATAGCATCGTATAACATAATGGGAATTAGTAAAATATATGTTGATTTATTTAAGCCTGTCATTAGAACTGTTTCATTATACAACTTTTTCGGCACTGTTTGAAATGTGTTCCCCTTTTATGCTTTTTTCATCGCACCAAAAAATTTTGATCAGTTTTGAAAGTATTATTCCACAGATAGTCTTATTCTCATCAGTGCATTTATCTTTGTAGTCACTCTGCAGTATATGCCTTATGGCATGTCCATGCAGAAACTTAAGATACTTTGGTGAACTGCCTTGCATGATAATATTCTTTTAATGGTTCAACAGAGTAGTGAGAACTGGGGAGTCTAGTCTTCTGTAATCCAGCTGAAATTGCATTTTCTGAGAATTTGACTGTTGTGTGCTAAATCTTGCTATCTGTAATATTTAACTTTTTCCTAGGTAATATTTGTAAAGCAATAGTCATGTGATGAAAGGGGACACATAATAGTAAAGTAGCATTGCTACACTTCACTAGGAATAAAAAATTGTTCCTGTTTATTTAGATACACTTTTCAGAGTTTTAACTTTTTTTAACATGCTTTTTTCAAATGCAGCATATGTATGTTCACCTCATGAGCAGTAAGAGGGTTTACATATTGAAGTCCTGGGCAGACCTGCATACTTGCTTTATAAGGTGCCCCTGTCTGACTTGTATCAAACTGTGCTGCAATATCCAAGGCAAGAATAGATGAATGGAACTAAAATATTTTTTTTTAAGTAACTTTAAATATTTGGAGATAATAATGATGGATTGTTATATGTTAGAGAATCTACTCAGCATGAGCATCTGTTCAGTGTGTATGTTTCTGTACATCTGGAGTTCTTTGTGATGGGTGTAAAGTGTACAAATAACATTAACATAGAATATTTAACAGAATGTATCTGGTTATTGTCATCTTGGGTTTTTGTGCAGTTAAATTGAATATGTAGTGCATTTGCTTTGATGCTAATGGCTCACTGAGCTTTGAAGACTGGTGGAAGGTTGATAATGAAGTTCTTGGCTTAGTGAGTAGAGACAAGTGAACCTGTGTGATTGGCACTCTGAAGTGGCTTCCTTGGAAATTAAAGAGTTTGTGCTGTCTCTTTAAAAAAATTAGGAAGGATGTTTTTCAACTTCTGATGCACATTCTGTCTTTCAAACCTCTGTGAACCCCTTAATAGCAGTTGGCAGAAGAAGAGTTTGAATACCATGTAAGAACATTTTCAGTCTGTAAAACCAGTCTAGCCATCTGTTTCTCACCTCTTGATAAATATTTAAAGCAGAAATTTTGCTGAGGGCTTTTGTGCTAAGATTTCATGATTAAAAAAAAAAAGGCTATAGAAGATTTAATGATACTATTGTTGTGAGCTCCTTGGGGCCAGAAGCACACTATCTTTTATAATTAAGAAACCACTGGCACTGAGAATACTATTTTAGAAATGAGTTATGTTGGA